GATATGGAAAATTGCTGTTTTATTTAAAAGTGAATATAATTTACTCAGATGAGAAGGCATTGATAGGGCCAAGATCTATAAATCTCCTATGGTTAATATAACCACTGGGCTTCTCCAAGCTAATCATCTGTTCTTACTAAAACCGGTGTTGAAGTAATGTAGGATATGAATACATGTAACACATGAACATATAAACAAAAACTGAGTTGAAACTAGTAAAATCTAATTTAAAAAATAGTACATATATTTTGTTGAAAATTTGTAAGAGAATGGTGCTCAGCATTGTAGATTTTATATATCTATCTATCTATCTATCTATCTATCTATCTATCTATCTATATATATATATATATATATATATATGTATATAGAGAGAGAGAGACTTGTAGTTCAGTACAACTTACTTATATACAAACAACCCTTTTAGAGAAAAAAAATCTTTATGTATACAAATATGTATTTAACAGCATAACAATAATGCCAACAACTCTCTGACATTGAAATAGACCAGATGATATGCGTCAAACTGATGTCATCATTTGCTTGAAAAGACACTACATGTAACACATGAACATATAAACAAAATGATTGAATACATGTAACACATGAACATATAAACAAAAACTGAGTTGAAACTAGTAAAATCTAATTTAAAAAAAATGTGATTACATATATTTTGTTGAAAATTTGTAAGAAATGGTGCTCAGCATTGTAGATTTTTATATCTATCTATCTATCTATATCTATCTATCTATCTATATATATATATATATATATATATATATAGAGAGACTAAAATTAGTTCAGTACAACTTACTTATATACAAACAAACTTTTTAGAGAAAAAAATCAGTTTATGTATACAAATATGTATTTAACAGCATAACAATAATGCCAACAAGACATTGGAAATAGACCAGATGATAATACGTCAAACTGATGTCATCATTTGCTTGAAAAGACACTAAATACACATTATAAACAAAATGATTGAATACAATAAACATGAACATATAAACAAAAACTGCTGAGTTGAAACTAGTAAAATCTAATTTAAAAATAAGTTTATATATTTTTTTTGAAAATTTGTCTAGAGAATATCAACATTGTAGATTTTATCTATCTATCTATATATATATATATATATATATATATATATATATATATATATATATATAGAGAGAGAGAGACTTGTAGTTCAGTACAACTTATTTATATACAAACAACCCTTTTAGAGAAAAAAAATCTTTATGTATACAAATATGTATTTAACAGCATAACAATAATGCCAACAACTCTCTGTCGTTGAAATAGACCAGATGATATGCGTCAAACTGATGTCATCATTTGCTTGAAAAGAGACACCCTGGCCCTACCTTGATTTAACCTCTTTCCGAAAGTAATTGATATGTTGATACAATATGTTAACCTTTACGCCCCTTATTAAAATAATTGGTTTCGCCGTTGCCATAGTAATTAAGATTATGAATGTATATGCTTATAAAGCTTTGTAAATTTCAAGATTAGTTATTTCAAAACTTAAGGATGAAACAGAGATGGGTACTTTAATTCAATTTAATTTTTATAATTAAATTGAAGTTTTTAGCAAGTTTTTGAAAACATGAGAACCCTTATGTAGTGATGGAATCATATTTTTAAAAATTTTAGGCTCTATTTATGTATTGAGCACTGTTTTTTAAAAATAAAAACAAAAATACTAAAGAACTTTGGATTATTTTACCTAACAGTTCTTTCCTATTTTTCTATATATTTGCCCGCACACACACACACACACACACACACACACATATATAATGATATTAGAAAGAGCAATACAAATACAGAGGGATGTGTATCTGTGCTTAATAGATTAAGCAAATATACATCACAAAGAACTATTTGAACTGCTAGGTAAGCTTTAGTTTATTTTGCAAGGATATTAGAATAATACACAACATATACCAGAAGCAAACTGACTGCATGAAGATAAAAAATGAATTCAGTAAATACATAAATGTGCTGTGGGGTGTAATGGCTTACAGCTTGGAATGAGAAATCAGAGAGCAGAGTTCAAATTCCGGTCAGGTTCATTACATTCATTTGTGTGCAAATACCCTTGAAAAGGTATGAATCCATCTCTTCTAGCCTCCAGCTACGGGTTGAATAGTAGGACAGACTGGATTCTATAGATTTGGTTGGTGACCAGCCCATTGCAGAAAAAAACGGCAACCTACTGCAAAAAAAATCTTATGCTTAGTCGTAAGTCAAAAGAGACATGATCGCCTAAATGTGCATCATGTATAGAACTTAATGAATTGCACTAAAATAGAAAGAGGCATAAGAAAAGGGTGTGTCTTCCTAACGGACTTATTCAACTTTTACAGTAAAGCAATTCTGATTGTTGGCAGTCGCAATCTTAGCAACATTAGAGATGCAGCTGACACAGTGTTGATAGAAGATACAGGAATTAAACTAGAGCAACTCTTACAGAAGATAGGAAAGCAAGAAGAAAGGACTAAACATAAATTATAAGAAGACAAAATGTTTATAATAAAACAGGAACTTGATCAATAAACAACACTTCACCAGACAACAGAAAAATTTAATTTGAGGAGAAATTTCAGTAACCTTAAATAATGCCTAAAGGGTAAATCCGCTTTAACAAGAAAGGAGACTAGCTTGCTACTGCCACTCCTTAGCATACATCCATTAAGCTGAGGGGTGGGAGTCTAATATCTTCAAAAATTTGTTAGCCAAGGATGGTAATTCAATCCTTGGTAGGACCACAAGAGTCAATATAGTTAGCAGTATAGTTTTTAGCAAAAGGAACAGACCAAAATGTGAACTACATATTGGTGAAACCAAAATCAAGTAAGTACAAGAATTCTAGAGTTAACAATTATCTTTCCCACATATCCTCATAAACTGCACCTCTTAACTCTTACTGCTCACACAGCAAACTCCTTCAGTAACCCTCTATCTCGAGTGGCTCTTAGGCCTTGTAAAGTAAACATTAGTTTAAAAAATAAATCTAGGAAGTATTTTACGAGAATATGGAAAATGAGACTTCAAAATCTGAAGGTTTATTGGGATAGCAAAAGATGCCTTCAAAAAAGCTAAGCAAAGTATTAAGAAACAGAAAAAACTTCATTAGAAACAAGGAAAAGACTACTGAACAGTTACGTGATATATGTCCTCCTATATGGCCGTGAATGCTAAACAATCTCCTTCACAGATGAAGAAAAGACTTGAGGCAAGAGAAATGTGGTTCTACAGAAGGATGCTGAGAATATCATGGACTGAACATGTGAGCAACAGCAGAGTTTTAGGAAAAATAGCAACTAAAAAGACACTTATACTTAGAATTAGAAAAGAGACCATTAAAATTTCTAGGGCACAAAATGAGGAAAGTAGGCTTGGAGAATTTGACACTCAGGACATACTGAAGGCAAGAGAGGGAGAGGAGAGCAATGAATAAACTACCTAACAAGCTTGTATAAATGGTAGTTGGAACAGGTATTAGGAAGGATAGCAAAAAGGCAAAAACTTACTAAGAGCTACAAAAGACAGAAAGTTGTAGAGAGCTATGTTCACCTACGTCCTGAAGGGACATGACATATAGAAGATCCAGTTAAAATTTCATTTCAGTTTTTATTTCCAATCTACATTTTTAAATTTGGAAAACCTTTCATTTTATGAATTTTAAACTTATACGAGTTAATGTTCAGGCATAATGGAGCTGAGGTTGTGAAAATATAAATCCAACATTTTACTGTTCATTGAACAGTAAAATTTTGGTTTCCAAAATAGATATTTCAGTTTAGAAAAGCAGTTGGCTTAAACTATTAATCAATGATGAAGATTCTGAGGCTGTGTTTGAAGAGTTATCCCAAGATCCCTGTCAAAGAACACTGGAACAATTTCAAACTAGGATGCTTGGAAGGAAAGAAATTGGTAAAATTAAGTTAAATGAAAAACAAAAGGTCAGATATATAGTCTTACATTAAACAATACGAATTTGATCTATTTTTGGAGTGAAATGAAAAATAAGTTTTATAAAGTAATTTTATTTGCACAATAGTTGCTGATTAGTAATTGAACCCCCCAAAGTGTACCATCATCCCTGGAAGATGAGTGTTTGGTAGAATTCAAATGGTTTCATCTATCATGGCTTACCCCAAATTATTAATGCCAAAAAATATAAAGAACAGCTTGAAATAATGCATTTAAAACTATGAAAGACGTTATAGTTTGGTTAAAAGAATGGACATCATTTTGTTGTATAAGAAAACTTTGGGTAAGCAAAAAGTTAAATTTACTCCAAGTTAAATAAATTAATGATTTCTTGTTGAACAATGTGATACTGGTCATCTTGGGATGTTGACTTTTGTGGTCCTACCAAGACTATCCTTGGCTAAGAAATTTCTGAAGATAGACTCCAACTCCTCGGCTTAATGGATGTATTCTAAGCAGTGGAAGTAGCAGACTAGTCTTCTTTCCTGACAAAATGGATTTAACATTTAGGCATTATTTCAGTAAAATTTCTCCTCAAATTAAATTTTTGTCAATAAAATTAATTTATATTTGTGCCACTTAGCTTAAATATTTGTCTGAAGATCAGTTATGTTTAGTTTGCTTTGTGTTGATATTTAGTTCGTTTTTGGGTTCATCCCCTCATTGTCAATCATTAGATTTTTATCTATGAAATATTTATTATCATCAAATTTTTAAATCTTGGGGTGCATTTTGTAGGTCCCCCTGAGAGGATGCAGTATTATAGCCTATGGAGGATTGATTGGTGATGGATGAGTTTTTATGGTGAATGTACAAATTGTAATGAGTGAATGGGTTGTGAATCGGATTAGCTAGATATAAGATAGTCAGTGATGACCAGCCTCAACCCATTCCCTGTTTTCAGCCATGTTCCATAATTGTATTTATTTACAATAAATATAAATATTTGTCTGATGATTATAACCTTTATTTGACATTTATTTCAGAGGGTCTTGCAGTTGGAGTTGGTTTTGGTGCAATAGGAAAAAGTAAATCTGCAACATTTGAAAGTGCAAGGTAATAAAGTTGTTTTTTTATTTCTTTTAGACATTGTAGGAATGCAGATTTGTTCTTTTTTACTTACGTGTCTTGCAAACTAATTGACATTTAAGAATGAATAATTTTGATTTAGTTTAACCCTATTCTCAGACAAGCCATGACTTTCATTTCTCCAGATGAACTGCTGATGTACTAACGATAATTGCTGAAGAGTCTATCATGCTCTAGATAAAAACAGTGAAGCCAGGGCTGTAGCATTGGATATCTCAAAAGCCTTTGACAGGGTCTGGCATTCAGGTCTTCTCCACAAGCTGAAAAGTTACAGTGTCTCTGGACATGTTTTTGAACTAATCCAGTCTTTCATATCAAATCATGAAATGAGAGTTTTCCTGAATGGCCACTCATCTAAATCCTTTCATACTAATGCAGGTGTCCTACAGGGTTTGATCCATCATAAAAATAATTTTCATTAATGACCTTCTTGATGATATCAGCTCTCAACTTGGCAACACAACCATTCATTCCTGCCTTGACAGTAAGGCTGATCAGTCAGATTAGGTCAAATTGGCAGCTGATGTAAAAAACGACCTCAAGACTGTCATTAACTGGGGCAAGAGATGGCTTGTCAATTTTAATGCCTCCAAAACTAAACTTATAAAGTGACTCATTGCACCTTCTTCGGCTAACATTCTCAGCTGACATGAAATGGAAAGACTACATTGAATCCATCACTAGATCAGCTGCTAAGAAAGTTAGTTCATTGTGTTGAGTGAGACAATTTTTCTCTCCAGAATCTATCTTGCATATCTATAAGTCTACCATTCATCCATGCTTAGAATATTGCTGCCATATATGATCCGATGCCCCTGTTTTTTTCCTGAAGCTCCTTCAGAAGATCCAAAGAAAAATCAGCAATATTATTGATCTGGCTGCTTGACTTCAGTCACTTGCCCACTGCCATTAAGTTGCCTCTCTGTGCCTTTTTTATACATACTTTCATGGTAAATGTTCGGATGAGCTCTTCACTATGGTACCTAGACTGCATGAATTTAAGTGCAATACTAGACTGGCATCAAGATCTCCTCAATTTACAGCTGAGCTAGCTAGATGTAGCTGGAACTTCTATGCTAACAGTTTCTTATCTCACACTTCTTGCTTGTGGAACTACCCCCCCAGATCTATGCATTCCAATCAACTTTAATCTGCAAAAATTTAAATGTAATGTCAATCGCTATCTACTGTCATCTTGATTGTTCTTTTTTCTTTCTCCTCATTAATATTTCTGTTCCTAATTCATCCACACCCTGTAACCTCTTGCATGCTAGGGGCTGTACAGCCTTGCTTGGAGGTGATTACCGATTTTAAAAAAAAAAAAAAAAAAAAAAAAATACAGTCTAATGAAAAATGGAATAATGAATAAAATAGTAATTTTATTTGCACAATAGTTGCTGATTAGTAATTGAACCCCCCAAACTGTACCATCATCCCTGGAAGATGAGTGTTTGGTAGAATTCAAATGGTTTCATCTATCATGGCTTACCTCAAAGTAGCCAAATTATTAATGCCAAAAAATATAAAGAACAGCTTGAAATAATGCATATAAAACTATGAAAGACATTATAGTTTGCTTAAAAGAATGGACATCATTTTGTTGTATAAGAAAACTTTGGGTAAGCAAAAAGTTAAATTTACTCCAAGTTAAATAAATTAATAAATCAGCTTGCAAAAAGAAAATCCAAAAAAAAAAAAATCTTTATTATTATTACTTTATTATTTTCAGAAATTTGGCTCTGGGTATTGGGATTCAAAATTTCCCTGAAGGTTTAGCAGTTAGTTTGCCTTTACGAGGTGCTGGTCTTTCTACATTAAAATGTTTTTGGTGAGTTTCTTTTTAATTCCTTCTTGTTTTTATATTATTTTTTTTTTTGATTTTGCATTTGGCTGTGATAATGTTCAAAAGAAAACTGCCAGTATAAAAATCAATTATTTCTTTATGTGGTTCATTAGTTAGGATCTGAGACTAGAAAATTATTCAACTTCGGGTGCAGTTTCTAAAGTGCATTAAAAATTTAACTTTGTTTTAAATCTCAGAAACTTAGTAAATTTTATTCTGTCTATATCATTTAGCCTTGTTATAAAATAAAATAAATAAAATTTTTAATTTAAGAATTTAAAAAAAAAATCATGATGTCTGTTCTTGCAAAATAGGCTTACAGTCGTATCATGTTTTGTACAGTGACTAAAACGAAGCAACATTTAACCTAATTTACAAGAAAATGGGGAAAAAATAATGTAAAACTTTCACAACTTGTGCTTTCAGTGCTTTGAAAAAAAGTAACGAATGTAACAAGAACATCATCATAATTAATGGCAAAAAAGAAAAAAAAAATACGATATAGGTACTGACTAAACATGCAAAAATTTTGTTTAATTTTCAAGAGAAACAAGCTTTACAGCCATGTTATGTTGACACACCAGTTCAATCACCAGAGTTAAGCAACATTGAGCCTGGTCAGTAACTAGATGGGTTAGAGTTTGGGAATACCAGATGGTGTAAGCTTGAATGTGCAGGTAGTGTAATGGATAACGGCTCAGTATTGGAAATTGGAAAGCCGAGATCTAGTTGGGTTTGTTATATTTACCTATGCACAAATACCCTTGGGAAAGGTATGAATTTATCTCTTCTCCCCCCAGTTATGAGTAAATTAGTAGGACTTTTATCAGAAGATCAGTATCATCAAAAAATTCTTTCAACTTAAAAAAAAAAAAAAATCTTCTGACTTTAAATAACCCACAAAGATTGATGAGCCATAAAAAACAAATCAATTAATCCTTCAAAATATGTAACTTTTCTCATCAGTGAAATATATTGCTTAAAACTGATATAACTACACTATTACTGTTGTGAAGAAGAAAGACAAGAAAAAAATATCCAGCAGAATCGGTCCCAATTGTCTTCAGGGGAGAAATATTCAAATATGGAGGTTCAAAAGTCAATCATTGTCTTCATTTTATCTCTGAAGTGTGGAATGCACAGTGCATGCCCCAGCAATGGAAGGATACAGAATATTTTCATGGTCTACAAAGGAAAAGTTGACAATGCTGATTGTGAAAACTACTGTGGGATCTTGCCGTTTGTGGTGGCAGGCAAAAATCTTTCTAGTTTTCTTCTCCAACGTCTCCTCATAAAAGGTGTATATTTGTTTCTACCTGAGACATAATGTGGCTTTTGTAAAACCTACAGAACCGCACAATTTTTTGCATTTACTTCAGGAAAAATGCAGGGAACAGCATAGATCTCTTCTTTGTCAATTTGGCTAAAGCCTTCAATACAATTAATCGAGATATGCTTTAGCACATTCTGGTTAAACGTGGCTACCACCCAATTTCATAGCTAAGATTTCACACTAACATGTATGTCATGTAGTGTATTTGCAGGCATCATCTTGGATGCTTTTAAAGTCAACATAGGAGTGAAGCAAGTGTGTGTCATAGTGTCAACCTTATTCAACATTTATCTTGCTGCTGTGACACTGCTCAGCCTTCAATGTTTACAACTTGAAGAAGGCATCTGTCTCTGCTACAAACTGGATGGTAGTGTCTTTAATCTTCGTAGGCTTTGCACCCCTACAAATTCTTTTTGATCTTCAATATGTTGGCAATGTTGCCTATCCAAGTCTGCATCATGATGTCCTACAATGCAACATTGATGTTGTGTCCAGAACCTATAGTAGCACTGGCATTATGATTAATGTTAAAAGAACTGAAGTTCTCTGCCAGCCATCAAGATGCATCATAACACTGATGCTTCATTTTCAACTGGTGGTGAGCACATCAAGTGTGTTGTTGACTTCCTGTATCTGGGAACAGTACTGTCCTCCACTTGTAAGACTACTGACTGATTTCTAAATCACACACATCAAACATCAAGAGCTTTTAGCCAACTTTATGATGGACTCTTTCTAAGCAGAAGCTTGTCCACCACCACAAAGGTATCAGTGTACAACGCTACGTGCTTATTCATCCTTCTTTATGACTCTGAATCCCAGGCTCCATATCAAGCTCACATATGAGCTCTTGAAACCTTCCACATCTACAGTCTTCAACACATCCTCAGATTGTCATGGCAAGATCGAATACCACATGTCAGTATTCTGCCACACACCAGTAGTATTATCATTGAGGCTCTTATCATCCAACAATAACTCTGGTGGGGTTTCTCATGTTATCAGAATGCTCTCCGAAATAGGATCCTATATATGAGGAACCGTATTTACATTAGTCGGACTATTGTCCTCATCTTTGTCGACATATTTGTCACAACATTTCAGCCGTTGTACACTCCGGCCTTCTTCAGGTGGTTGGAATGTCGAACTGAACCCTTTATTTCGATCACTGGGGTAGACTGTTCTAGTTCCACGTGCCATGTTTGATGGATGTCAGTTATCAGTTATCTCCTGCTAATTTTCCCTCTGAAAGTTCTCCACTGCCTTAACCAGGTATTGAACTCACCTTCTTTGGGTCTGTCACTGGATCTAACCAACGCCTTTATCCTCTGTGCCATGTGTCCTAGGAATACCTCATCTCAGAAATATAGACAGACCCATATGGGGAACCATTGGAAGGGCAGCACTATGTTGAAGGACAGAAAAAAAATGTTTCAAAGACCGCCTGAAAGTAATGCTAAAACAGTGCAGTATTAATCCTATGGAACTGAAAATTAGAACAGCCAATTGCAACAGTTGGAGGACACTATGCTGTCAGGTTATTGAAAGATTTGAAACTAGCCAAACACAAGACCAAGAATTTCATTGGCAACATTGTCATGATTGCCTGATGCATGGGTCACAACCACCAGGTGTCAGCATTGAATTTGTGGCCGCAAAAAGTTTACTTTTTGCAGCCATCAATGCCAACATAATGTCATCAACCAGTGATTTCTTCAATTCTCATTCTTCTCATTTAGTGAAGCAGATATTACAATCATCAATGGACTTTATGGTAGTACTGCTGTGAATTTTTTTTCAGTAGTAAAGTCACTAAGACACAAGGGGGTTACTGTGTTTGAAAGAATTAGAAAATAGAAACATTAAAGAGCAAGAACAATAGAAGAGTAATCAGAAAGACAGTAGATAACAATTGATATTGCATTTAAATTGTTGAAGATCAAAGTTGGCTGGAAAGCATGGAGCCAGAAGAGTTCCACAAGTGAGAAGTGTAAGAAAAGAAACTCTTAGCATAAAACTTACAGTTATATCTAGCCAATTCAACTGTATATTGATGAGAACTTGCCTCCAATCTGGTACAGCACTTAAATTCATAAAGTCTAGGTACCATAGAGGAAAGTTCACCTGAACAATTACCATGAAAGCATTTTTAGAAAAGTCACAGATAAGCAATTTTACAGTGTTGGGAAAGTGACTGAAGATGAGACATCAGGTCAGGACCAATAATATTGCTGATTCTTTTTTGAATTTTATATGACAGCAATATTCTTAGAAACAAGGTTATGTACTTGACTTTCTCATTAAAAATCTGATATATATATATATATATCTTGTGCCTGAAGAGTTGGGTAACCAACACAACTTAAGTCGCACACCAAATGTAGGTATATGTATATTTATTAATATATATTTTCTGGCTCTGTCTAACCATGTTGAGCACTATTATGGCTACACCTCTTAGCAAAATTTGGTAATTATTTATTTGCTTACCTGTCTATGCATGCCAGCTTGTGCATATACGGTTGCTAATATCTAGTTATTTCATTTAACTAACCCTATACCTATATAATAAAGGTAATAATTCTGTTGGTATATAATCCAACTGGATCCTAGTAATATAAAATATTAAAACTGATCCACAAAAGGAGCTCAATGTATTTATTATTTAAGTCCAAAATTACCTCATATGGGGAATAGGCTTATTTCAACCAATAAAAAATTTGTCAGTCTTATTCAACCTCGGTATAGACTGAGTTCAGACTCAAACTCAGTCTATACCGGAGTTGAATAAGAATTTTTCGTCGGTTGAAATAAGCCTATATTATATTTGGATTTATTATATATATATATATATATATATATATATATATATATATATATTTTTAGAAATAAAAGTGTAAAACTTAATATTACTAGACATATTAAAACAGGTTAGCAACCGGGAGCAACAGGCTTCAACAGGAGATTTAATTTAATTAAAACACAGAAAATGTACAAAAAATGAAGTTTTTTTTATTGTACATTTTCATTTAAATTAAATCTCCAGTTAACCTGAATTGTGGGATTTATAAACCAGTTGCTTCATTGTTTTAATATGTTAAGTAATATTAAGTTTTACACTTTTATTTCAATAACCTACAAAAAATATCTTTAAATATATATATATATATATATATATATATATATATATATATATATATATATATATATATATATATATATATATGGATTAAATCCAACAAATATTTTAATATGTTTTCTGTTTATACAAAGTTAGCAAAGTCCAAATTACTGCTTATTAACAGAAAGTTCTCTGTGGCTGAATAGCTAACAGCACATCAAGCCAAATGACGGTTTCCATATGGGATACAGATTCAATTCCATTTGGAGAATGCATATGTAATTAATCCTGTTTAATTAAAACCACAGTTACTCAATAAGTCATATCCATAAAAATAACATATAAAATAATATATATAGCACTAATATATATATATATATATATATATATATATATATATAGTGCTGCACCAAACTAAGTGAACCTCTAAAATAATATTAAAAAAATTTCTCTTTTTTCCAGATAATGAACAAATCTGAATTAAAGCATATAACTATTTATTCATTAAGAAAACCTTTATTAAACAAATTACAAC